CTACCCCTTATGACGTATAATTTAAATGAAGACTGCATGTTGTTCAGAGTTGGAGAGTGCTGTTTGATGTGGAGGGTTTTTTTAATCAATAATTCCAGGTCAGTGTTAGACTTGCTGAGGATAGAGAAATTTGATAGTATAGGTTGATGTCCTGTTTCTTCACTGTGTTTGCGTATAGAGGAAACATAGGGGTTATTCAATTTTTTGCGTTTTTTTTTCGTTGTGTTTTCTTGCTGTAGTTTCTCCCCATGATTACTGTTTATTGTTTTATTTGTTTAATTATCGTTATATTTAGCAACTATACTTTGAAAATGTATAAAGACTTAAGTTATTTTGTGATGAAATGAAAAGTCACTATTATGTTAACACTTATAGGACATAGTATATTTGAACAATTCTTCACAAGAAATGACTAACTCCAAAGTTAAGTATGTGTTAGGAAGGGCCAAATATTGTACTGAAAAGATTTGCTTGTTTGTTTGTTTGTTATTAAGCACAAAGCTATGCAATGGACTATCTCTGTTGTAACCACCATAAGTATCAAACCCAGTTTTCAGCATTATGCGCCATCAGACTTACCACTGGGAGGAGTACTGAAAAGAATCAATGATGTTGTTTGCATAATCCAAATGGACAAGCAGTGCAAGTGAAATGTCATCTGTCATGATTATCTTTGGAAGTGCATTGGTGAGAGAATGGCCAACTGGGCAATTTCAGAGAAGAATTTGCATACAGAATACCAACCTGCTGAAAAGCTCAGAGACCACTTTAGATGAATACTGAGGATAAAGATACCAGTTTATTTGCTCATCCACCTACCCAAGGAGGACTTTCCTGACAAGACAGCAAGTGATGAAAAGAACAAGCGGCAATTCCACCTGTATCCCTTGGGAAAGAAAAACTCTAAAAAGACTTGGTGGATAGACAATTAAGTGTACTGTTTTATTTTTGTATTAGGATTCTTCAAGGTACTTCACAATCCAGGAAAGGGCAATGCCGTAAGCTATTTTTTTTTCAATATTTTAATTTAATTTCATTGCTAGAGGATGCGTAAGACTAGAACTATGAAAGTTCAGAAAAGTTAAGATTTAAAAAATAGTGTAATTTGTTGAAACAAGAGTATGGTATGAATGCAAGTAAAGTGAAACAGTTAGTCAGTGGGTAATAGATGAACATTTAATGAATAGTGAGTTACTAAGCACTGAATGAATTATTTAGTTCAGTGCTAGTAATAAGCATCATTGCACCTAGTAACAAGAAAATTGTGCAAGTAAGTTTATTTGTAAGTTAGACCTAACTGAAATTAGTATTGTTGCGTCAGCGAGATCACGTGACTATTCTCACGCCCTCTGCTTTCTATAACTATCCTGTACCTTGTCGAATGCTCTAGCATTTACTGGATATAGGGTAGACTGGTATATAAAAGAGGGTGACAACGTGACAGAATAATGTGTGTGTAGATAGTGAGTAATTGAACTGCAGTCAGAAGTATTGTTGACATTCGTTGATATAGCGTTTGTTATAGAGCAACTGTTGAAAATAAGTGTATCGTAGAGTTGTATTCGGAAATAATAAACCAGTTTTATTAAGTAAGGACTTGTGTCGCTAAAGTTTCGTCGGAACGAAGTTA